TCTCTGATTCTATGATTTTCTGGCCAGCATCTCAGGAATCATGGAGTAGCAAGCTGGCCATGACTTTGAGCTGGAAATAATGCATCCTTACTAAGAAATTTTCAAAACAGTGATTCACCTCCACTTGCTTTCTAAAGCACTACAGGATGGAAGGCACTCAACTATATATCTCAGAATTGAACATATAATAGAAGTTCTTATAATGGGGCCAGAAATATTCCTTTGAGGACAAAAGGCACTGCAATTTTAAAATGCTTGGCTCCTTTTCTCATTAAACTCCTCTCTTGCTTATGCTGAAAATGAAAGAGCCTCAAACAGCAAAGTGGTACTCCAAACCCAATTCTAATGAAATGACAGACGCATCTAACTCCAGCGACCCCCTTTGGAATGTCATTTTCACCCAAGCAAAGAGACACGGCAGCAGATGTAGAGTGGAAACACAGTTAGGAAATAGATTAGGAGAGAAGGGTGAATAGAGATTGTCTGGGACAAGATTGGAATAAACTGCACACTTTTCTTGGCCACTCACTTGAACTTTGCCTCTTCCTCTTAGCTCTCCTGTCTCTTACCCTGTTGGAATTCAGACTGATCTACAGTAATGCCTGCCCTTCTCTTTATCTCAACAGGCCCACAGATACAATCATCAGAAGGGTGCTGATTATATCCACCTTTTCTCAGATGGGACCACTTAGAGCTGAAGCAGGAGTTCATGGCAGAGCCTGCTGTGGGGTGGCGGGGAGACAGCAACATTCCTCTGTACTGGAGATTATGGCTTTTTCTCTCATGGGATAGAAATGCAGTGTAAGAGTGCAGCAGTATGAAGATACTGGCGTTCACCTCCACAAGGAGAACAGGTGAGAGTAGGAACTAATGGCTGAATGGATTAACAAGATATTTTTAAGCATTTGCTCTTGTGTGAAAAGCCAGCAGTTAGGCTCCAACTTGGAGGGTAAGAAGTCTTGGGCAGGTCCTCCACCTGAAAGTGAGAGGGATGCTCCCCAGATAAAAATCAGCTTGGTGGTCCCAGCCCACCAGAGATCACACAGTGAATGGACGGCATCACCGTGCTACTTCATCAATCATAAGGAGATGCACTCGATCACATTTGGCTGTGTAACGACACCACAGAAGGCAACTGATGTTCACAGAGAATCGGAGCAAGAGAAGATTAACTAAATAAACAGGTGGATACATGTCCTGAGTCTCCTTGCTCCCTGCAAAAAAATCAGCAAAAAGGGAACCATTTTTGACAGTACCTAAAATGTCTACCAAAAAGAATTTCAAATCAATCCTACAAAATGGTCAGACCTGAACAAATACTAAATACTGTTGCACACCTGCTGTCAAGTGGGATCCAACAGTGACAGTAAATATCTAAAACAGATAGCAAGTATTGGAGAGTTTGGAATCCTTTGAGGGGATCAGAGTGCATTTGAAGTCATTCTGCACAGGGACCATTCCTAGTGCAAGGCTGCCTTTCAGCAATGCATTACAACCCATGGATCACCCAGCCTTGCTTCTCCCAATACCCTCTCTGGCATGCAGGGCAGCCTTTGTCCATTCAGGCCATTCCGCAACCACCCAGGGCCTCAGCCCAGACAGGTGTGCATAGCCTCTCCATGAGGCAAGCTCTTCTAACGAGACAAATGGAGGATTCTTTTGTCTCCTATCTGAGCATGAAGAATGCAAGTTGGGGTGTGGATCCTTGGCAAGCTCCCTTGCTCCTAGAATAGGCTTTTAGCAGGACAAGCTCGACTTATTTTGCCCCCCGAGTGAAAATATATGTGCAGGGCAAGTGTGTGTGGACTGGGGGGCGGGGCAGAGGGAAGAGGGATTCTATTTCCTTCTCAGAGGCTCCCTTTGTTGCCACCGGTCCTTGGTGCATCGTAAGTGAATATAGTGAGTGGAAAGACCAGGTGTTGGAAAGTTCCTAGAGGTGAGTTGCCTGCAAAATAGTTCCGCCTCTCCAATTTGTTTCCCAGGTATTTTTTGCTGACCTAGTCAAAGTGCTAAGTTTTGAGCTGCAGGGTTCTAAACCCACCTTCCCCAAACTGCCAGCCTCCAAGTGCATCGGACTACAGCTCTTACCATCCCTGGCATGCTGACCTGCATGCACATCAGCAGCACTAACTGAAGAGTTACGGTCCAGTGTTTTTGGAGGCCACACACTTATAGGACCATAATCAGTATAATCCATAGTCCCCTCCAATCCAAAACTCCTCCAGGTAGCCACATGGTATAGACATTTCCCACAGTGACACCTATGCTCTGGAATTCCCTTCCACAAGCGGTTCCTCAGGCCCTTTCATTAGTTTTTTGGATGCCTAGTAAAATAATAGCAGTGGAAAAGGATGCTCTCACTTCTACTGCACAAGATGTCCTTTCGGGTGCTAGGCCCAGGCATGGAGCTGACAACTCCGAACTCAGCAGCAGTATATGTGCTTTTGATAGACTGTCTGGAGTGAGCTAGGTTGACCAAAAGCAGAAAGAATCTTTTCCCTTTTCCTTACCCCACTGCTAGAAATGTCTTTTGGGTACCAACAACGAAAATGAACTGCAATCTGCTCATTTCTAGTTTGGTGTCATTCATTCTAGATAAAACCAGAATGTGACTATACTCTGAAGGAACATTAGGAAATGATATAGAAGTATCTATATTGAAAACACTGCCAGCCTTGTTTTACTTTTGGGGGAGGGGAGCACTGAAGGGAGCACTAAGGCTAGCCTTCCTGTCATGTATTGGGTTTGGGGGTTTTCTTTAGTGGCAAGCACCATAGATAAAAAACGTCAAGCCAATCCTGGATTCCAGCTGGCCTGCTCCAAAGGAGTTGGGTGCTCTGGCCTGCTCCACTTCTTTCAGAATCTCTGCTTTGATGTGGAGTCCTTTGAAGTCTTCTGGCTTGCCAGATTCCATGGGAGAAGCTTGAAGATTAAAGTGACTGTGTTTAGCTGGTGACCAAACGGTAATGAATTGTTCTGCAGTTTTCTGGCAGGGATAGCTCTTCATTAATTTGGAAGCTGATGCAAGCTACTCCCCCTTTAATGGACAGAGATGAACAACAGTATCAAATAGCAAAACTTGTCCTGGAGTTTACCATTTTGAGCCACAGATATGGAGGGATGGAGATTGTATATGCTGTCTCAGGTTCCCTGGAGGAAAGTCAGTTTATACAAGGAATCAAAAGTCTCCAACTTGATCTGGTTCCAATAAAGGGTTCCCTCCTGATGAGTGTTTATTGAATGGCAAGTTTTGACGGGAAGGTAACAGAAGAGAAAGGTTAAGCTTTCCCTCCCCACCTTCTGCAGTCCCAGCATTGTTATGCATCCATCCCATAAATGCTGTTTAGGGGTGGTGGAACAATTCATTTCTGATTTAAAAAAATACCCAAACTTCTACATTCCTCCATATCAGACACAAAGAGATTTCAACAACTGAATGTGGAGAAACAAAAAATGAGAGACTAATCTGTCCAGCCCCCAGACTTAGACAAAAGCAATGGCTGCTCTAATTTGGTACAAAGAGAAATTCAAACCCAGACCTTCAAGAGCTAAACAGTTCTCATCTTTACCAGCTCTGTGACATGCAACTACAACATGGTTTTCCCCATGCTCAGATTATCTGTATCTACTGGATGCAGCTACAGCAGATAGCTAAGAGTTTAACAAGACTTCTATGTGTTTTCCTATTCGGGATGAAAAGAATTTAAGATTTTTTAAAAAAATGAATGAGAGAGAAAATGAATTGACTGTTTCATTCATCCCTAACGTTTCAGCTACCTAGTCCTGAGTTTTGATGGTTTGGTCTAAAGATATCTCATTTTTGAGCCCAGCCTATTGAAGTACCTCAGAGATGCTTCTGTACCAATTTTAAGTTTTCTGGTTGACATTCATACTCAGTCATATCCCTTTTTTTTAAAGAACAAAGGAGCAAATGGCCCATGCTCAAATTTGCTATGGATCCACCACATTGTTTCAGATGCTGAGACACCAAATCTTTGCTTTCATGTTGGAAATGTTCAGCTGAAAATGTTCAGCTGATTTCAGTATGTCAGCCAGTTCCCAAGCATCTTTATATGGTCTCAAGGCTGAGGCTTTTCCTGATAACAGTATAACAATAGACCAGTCCATCATCTGCATGGCAGGGGGAATTAGAGTTGCCCATGGGAATCCTTTGTGTGTCTGTTTCCTGCTAGGCAACAATGTCATGTGAACAGGAATCTGTCCCATCCCAGTACGCTTTCCACTGAGACATGATTGTCACCCCTTTCCTTTTGAATTGTAGCTTGTTGTCAATACCAGCATGCTGGGATGGAGTTCAAGCTAATGCCTGCCAGCTGCTCCAGAGAGTGCCAGCTCTAAATGAGCACAATCCGCAACCAAGGGTTGTGGTCTCAGGAAACGTGTGCCATTCTGAGGACTGGAACTAAATCCAAGGTTCACATGCACTGCCAGTGACTATTCAGACATCCTGAGGTAAGCACAGAACCTATAGAAGCATCACTGTTAACCACCCAGTGAACTCCAGCTATTGGACAGTATAGGAAAGAAATTATGGATGATGATGATGATAGTCATCTGACCAATACGTATATCAGCTATGTTGCTCTTTCTTTTTAGTATTTGTAAATTCATAGAATCATAGGATAGTAGAGTTGGAAGGGGCCAGGAGGCCATCAGGTCCAACCCCCTGCAATTGCAGGACACTAAGCTACACCATCCCATTCAGGTGCCCATCCAGATGCTTTCTGAGTGTCTCTAGCGAAGGAGGACCCACAACATCCCCAGGTAATAGGCTCCATGTTGCACTGCTCTGACAGTGAGGACACTCTTCCTGGTAGCTAGTCTAAATCTGGTTTCTTTTAGCTCAAGTCGCCAGGGCGACTTAATTTATATTGTTAATTTATATTGTTAATTTATACTATTCTATTTTGAAGTTTATTTATGGTTGTGAGCCGCCCCAAGGCTTCAGCAAATGGGGCGGCATAGAAGTCTCCTAAATAAATAAATAAATAAATAAATAAATAAAGTCAGCCATTCCGTGTCCTGCACTCTGAAATGGACAAGAAGAGATCTTGCCCATCCTCTTTGTGACAGCATTTCAGGCACTTTTAGAGGGGTGCCTATCCTATCACCCCTCGGACTTCTCTTCTTGAGATTGAACATGCCCAGTTCTCTCAATCTTTCCTCACAGGGCTTTGCTTCCAGTCTCAGAATCATCATTGTTGCCCTCCTTGGTGCCCTTTCTAGCTTTTCTGCATCTTTATAAACTTTATAAACACTTCACAAAGGCAATATAAATTTTTGAAATAACATTTGAAGATGAATGCCAGGGCATATTATTCAAGTAAAGCATTGGGAGAACCTTCAGCTAAGTACATAAATGCTTTTATAAATAAATACATACATAGCTAAATAAATAAATAGATGCTGTGCCCAGCACATGCAAATGAAATTATTGCCCAGGGAACAACCTCTGACATTATGTGCCTCTATAATCCCCTGGAGAAATTGTCTCCTTCAGTCAAGGCTACCCCATAGCAGGGGGGCAGATATATAACACAGGCCCTTGGTCTACAGATCTACTCTGGCTTCAAAACTGTATCAATGGTAAAGGCACGCCCTGCTTAGGAAAGTCTGTCCTTGGTGGCTGAAGCTGTCGCCACAGGTTTCAACCACCTGGGCACATCTAAAGTGATCAAAATCCATGAATTCAAAAACGAAACAACCCTGATGTGGCTGGGAAGTGTTAGGGGTGGTGCTGGGAGAGGCCCACCAGGGCTGGAGCACCACACCCCTGAGCAGGAGCTACTCGCCACCTCCCTGCTAACCAGGGGACTTGCTGAAATAAAGGCACAGGGGACCTGGGTTTTTGCCACATGGGCTTCATCTCCTGCTGCTCCCCACCTTGAATCTTCCTGCTGGAGGGCTGTTCCCTGAAATCAAATGCCCACTTCTGTTCTGTCCATACATCTCTTTTCACAAATAAGCATGTCCTTAGGGAACATGATACCTTGCAGATTTTAGCACATATGTAAATTAGAATGTGCAAATTTGTATATTTTATTATTAATCCTGTAGGCCTGAGCCTCAGATCTTTTCAGTGTCTATTTTCACCCTTAGTTTGCATACCAAGTTTCAGGGGTATGAGCGTTATGGTCTTGGGGCTACGAACTGATGTACAAACTAACAGATGTACAAACAAACAAACATGCCTTTAATGACAGATTGACTGGCTAATTAATTAAAACATTTTTATCCTATTCAGCATCATGGGATCTCCTTTGTGTTTTGCTGCTGGCTGACCTTTCCTTCTTCTGACATGCTATGTATGGTTTCTGCTTCTTTAATCAAGCCCGACCTCAGAGTTTGATAACAAGCAGGTTTAATTAGGGGTGGAGTGGATGACTTACATTCATTGAAAGTCAGATAAATCCCTTAGAAATGGTTGTCAAATGCTCATATTTGAAATCAATTGGTGTTCTGAAGGGAATGGGGAAACACTGGATTTCAAGTCCCTAATACATTTCAATCCATTTTTAAATTCTTTTTAAATGCCTAAAAGAGCTTGTCAGATCAATGAAATAGATCAGCATTATTTGTGAACTCTTTCTCTGAATCAGGAGCAGAAAGGGGTGGCAGGGGAGGATTTGCACAGCAGAACAACTGGAAGTGAAAGGATGGAAATGAACGGCACATGCTCAGCCTGAAGATGCAGAAGGTCAGTTCATGCAGTCAGCAGAGACAAGCGGTAAATCAGTTTTTGAAAGACAGAATCATGCGGTCACAGGACTGGGTACTCCAAGCTTATCTAGCAGTACATCCCTCTGTGGATGCAGGAAATTGACTGGTAAAGCACCTTTCCTAGGTGGCCATCCAAGCTCTCTCTATTGATGAAGGGAGTCTATTCTACTGTGGGACAGCTTGTAGTAACAGAACATTCTTCCCAGCAATGTCCTGGAGCAGGACCTGCAGAAACACAGCACTGGCCCTTTGATCAACATGGACACTGCTAACATTTACCACCCCATCAGAATTCCCTGCTCCCTCTAAATTTACCTGCAATCCTCACAGTAGTTAGGGGGAAATGAATTTTCCCAGCAGTTACAGACTGCTCCATGCTGTAATACAAAGAATATTGGGATGGCTTGGCCAGGAATGGACAATGTAGATCCTTAGCTTTTCAAAAGGTCTGCTCATGGTAACGATGAAAACCATGAAGACTGTGTTGTTGATATGGATCAACAAAGTTACCTGGGTTTCTTAACTCTCTTTGGAGGCAGTGGTGAGTGTCGTTTGTTCTGTGCCATCAAGTCTTTCTGACTTTTGACTATTGTATGCATGAAAGCCCTCAGAAATGTCCTATGACCACCCCACTCAGCTCTTCTAAGTTCAAGGCTGTGGCTTCCTTCATGGAGTCAACTCATCTCCTATTTCATCTGCCTTTTCTTTCTTCTGCTTTCAACTTTCCCTAGCATGATTGTATTTCTCCAGTGAGTCTTACCTTCTCATGATGTGTCTGAAGTACAACAGTTTCAGTTTTGTCATTTTTGTTTCTAGAAAAAATTCTGGCTTAATTTGATCTAGGACTGACTTCTTTGTTTTTCTCTTCGCAAAATATTTGCAAAGTTCTCCTCCAGCACTATGTTTCAAACATCAATTTCCTTCCTATCAGGTATCTTCACTGTCCAGCTTTCATACCCATAGATTGTGATTGGGAATACAGCAATAAAGATGACCTCAGCCTTGGTCTGTAGTGAAACATTTCTACACTTCATTATATTTCCTAGTTCCTTCATCGCTGCCCTTCCAAGTCTCAGCCTCCTTTGAATTTCTTGGCTGCAGTCTGCCTTTGACTTGATGACTAAGCCAAGGGATATAAAATCTTTCAAAGTTCAATTTCTGCATTTTTACCAGTAAAGTTCTGTAATTCTTCAGTAGTCATGATTTTTGTTTTCTTAATGCTCAGCTGCAATCCTGCTATTGCACTTCTTTCGCTTCCATCAAGAGTCGTTTGAAGGGAATTTACTGGGTTCTTACTAATGTTTATCAAATCCCAAATCCCTTTGCTTCTAATTTGGGCAAATTGGTTGCTACCCATTGTGGCAAGAGAAAAAAAACCCTCTATCATGTCACCTCTCAATTGTCCTTCCTCCAGGCTAAGAATACCCAGGTCCTTCAACTTTTCTTCATAGGACTCAGTCTCCAGATCTCTCACAAGCTTCATTACCCTCCTCTGGGAATGTTCCACTTTGTCAATATCCTTTATAAACTCTGGTGCCCAAAGCTGGGTTGCATGGAATGAGAAGACTGAAGAAAACCTAGGCTGAACTCTCTGATATCCTAATTTCCTCCAAGGATAGAATATTCAAGTACACATTCAAATATATAAATGCAGAGACATCATGAAAAGGAACATCCTAAGTTAAGGCACACCACTTAATTCACCTTGTTGGAGAAACTGTGTAGTGGTTTGGAATTCTGGCAAACCTCAGTTTTTCAGGTTATATATGAAGCGAGGTGAGCATGTTCATTTTAGGATGTTCGAAAATTGAAACTGGAGGGGTAAGGGTAACTATCAAGGCTGCCTCCTACAAAAACTGGTTCAGTCCTACACTACTGTGAGCAGGTCTTAGAGTCAAAGGAGTCACAGACACCTGCACTTCAGGGGGAGTCCTCAGTACTCCCTTCTGGCCAGAGCAGGTTGTCTCACCTTACCAGACTCTGAAGATGATTCCCCTGCAGCTTTTCCTGACCCTCAGCCACAAAGGAACCTGAGAGTTCAGAATGTGACACTGATCCTTTAAGAGCCACATGCAGCCTCCAGCAAGAAGGTGTCAATAAAAGGCTAGGTGCTGACAGCCTTCTTAAGACCATGGTTGACTGCTGTCCTTGTGGGCTGCTTCAGTCAGCACTGCCCGTCACGCGCTCTCTCCTGCCTTGACTCACACTTTGCTTGGTGTGACCTAGTGCGGAAGAAGGCCATGGCACAGACCACCACCTCTGGGCTCACCTCTAGCCAGGACAGGTGCCACCCATTGTCATTTCCCCTGCAAGTGCACTCAAAGTGTGTGGCACTGGGACATTGTCCAGAAAAGAAAATGGTCCCCACGAGCAGGCTTCCCTGCACTGTCCTTATGAGCACAAGCACTACCCAAGCAGCACTGTCAAAAGAAGTAAAAACTAAGGGAGCACCTGAAAGATTTGTGCAAGCACTGAGCTGAACAATTAGCTGACACAGGGGAGCAGCATCAGGGAAAAAACAGAAGACAAGCCAGGCTTGCAGGTCCAAATGCAATCCCAAAATGGGTGGGTAAATCTTCCAAATGTGTATATCACAGCTTAATAGGCAATTTTCTGTTCCGTCTGTGTTTTGTGGTGCAAACACAGATTCTGAATGCCAACGAAGCTTGTGTCTTTTGCACAACAAACACCCATGGCCTCCCACACCATGACATCTCTATGCAGTTCTACTTTACAATCTTCTATTTTACTTGCTGTATGCATTTCTGTGGCATAGGATGAAACATGCCACCATCTAATATTTAATATTTTTACTGTTTTACTATTTTTACTGTTTTACTATTTTTACTGTTTAATTGTTATATTTATGTATTTTGTCTTTGTTGTGAGCCGCCTCGAGGCTTTGTTGCGATGGGGGCAGCATAAAAATGTTTTAAATAAATAAAATAAATCTAATTGCTTCCCTCTGCCTTTGAAAAGCGACATTTCCTAACTGCTGCATGGAATGACATTTTCCATGAAAGGTCTCAGAAATTAAATCACGAACTAATTTCCCTTCCTGGCAGAAGAAGAATAAATCACTGGATGCAAAAGCTTCTCCATAGATTTCAGGGGAATATACAAGTTTGTTTTTTTTTCACTCCCATTCAATCCACACAACAGCCCTATGAATCAGGTTAAATGGAGACTGGCCATGATGACCAAATGACCTCCATGGAGAAGTAGGGGTTTGAATGGCATCTCCTCAGCGCTTTAAGTGTGCGATCCTCTGGCCTCCCACCATTGAGTGGGGGCTATTGGATTACTTGAGGCCCAGTTCCAAGGTCCTGCAACCTCAGGGCTCCAAGCATAGGACCCTGTCCCACTCCCTTGCTGCCAGTGTGGGAAGAGCTGCACCGGCCGCCTCTCTGAAGTTAGAAATCAGCCTTGCGGAGAGCTAAAAGAATGTGCCAAGGAATGAGGCAGTGGCCATGAAGTGAACCCATCCCAATTAGCACTGCAGCCTCCTTCCTTCTTCCTATCCCTGCACTAAAATGGTTGCCCAGATGGAATGCAAGATGTGAGGAATGGGGGAACAAAGATTGCTGCCAAAGTGCCTCTCTCCATCCATCCCAGGCATCCATGCCTGGAAGCCTCCAACTCTGGGGCTTCTGTGCATCCAATACAGAGGCCCTTCAATAGCTCTCCCCAGCCTGAGGCAGAAGGGCAAATGGTGCCCCGACCTCCACATTAAGGCCAAGATGTGCGGTACCTGAGGCCAGGAAAATTATTTTGGCCTTTAAGGCTGGAAAACTCATGAGCACTTCTCCTTGGAAGGAAAAATCCCTTAAGAAGAAAAGCTAGCTGTTAACTGGTCTTCGATGTCACACAGAAATAGCCTCTTGGCTCTGCCTAATGATAGTGATGTGTTTGCATCCTTTACTCCAAGACTCAAGTCAAGTCTCAAGTCATTGCAAGCAATCTGAGTCAAGTCTCAAGAGCCGACTTTAACAGCAAAAGGGAGGTGAAGGTGGGGTGGGCTGTAGGGGAGTGGGAGAGTTGTAGACAACCCCAACCCCAGTGATCCCACCTGCACTTCCCTCAGGGATGCACTGAAGTCTTGCACTTCAACCACAATATATTTAAACAAAGCTGTCCTGCTATTTGAGTTTATCAGGAGTGTGATTCAGAAAAACAATCTTTGCTACACAATTGGCCCCCAACCTGCTGCTGTTTTTCAGATCTATCAAGGTTGCACTTTAGGAAAATGATTTTCGCAACAGGATTGGCCCTCAGCCTGGCACAGTGAGGCCTCATAACAATCCCACCTTCACTAAACACCCCCTCCCTCATGCCAAAAAGAAGGGGACCCTTCCCTTCCCTTCCCCCATCGAACCCCCCTCCTCCCTATCCTCCCCCACCCTGTGAAACTTCCTCCTTCCCACTGCCTCTGCTGTGTTCATGCCTGCCTTCCAGCCCATCACAGATGCCTTCCACTGGGATTGCCCCAGGATATTCTGCTGCGCATCAGGTGTGCATGGTCAGCCCTGGAGTGACTCGGTCATAAAAAGTAGGGCTCTTGGGTCAAGTTGAGACACTCATTTGTTGCTCCTGAGCTGACTCTGAGTCGAGTCACTGACAGGGCTTACAGGGTGAGTTGCTTGAGTTGAGTCCCCGACTTTGGTGATGGTCACTAGAGTGGGTGAAGGCCAGACCTTCATGTGAAGGTTCCCCTCTTGGAAGGACAGTCCAACCCTTGCCTGATTTCAAGAGAACCTGGAAAAGGGGGAAACAACAGGGAGCTCTGAAGCTTTGACACTGTTGACCTCCAAGAAACTGGCCAAGGAGGCACCCAAGTCGAAGGGGTGGCAGACTTCCCTATGGTGGGGAGATGGGCTGCATTGCTGCGGCCTTCTGGTGGCCAAACTGCTTCAGCAGGGTTGTTTCTTGGTTGGTTGTTCTTGCCAGAATCTGCAGCCCACCCACAAAGGAGCACATGCAATTCAGATCAAGGCAACTGATCCAAGATGATAAAACTAAGACAGCGATATAAACTACTTTGGTATCCAACAGAGCAAACCCACTGAAACAAGAGCAAACAGAGCAGAAACAGTGTGTAAAGCAGTAAGTTACGGATTCCACCCCCCATCCCCTCCACGGGAGGCCCAGTCAACATGCAGCATTGTTCAAAGAGTGGGTCAAAGAGGGTCTTGGGCGAGAATACACAGGCAGACCCACACTTGTGGCCATCATTTTCCCCACAACCAGCTTCAAAGGGATGCTTGCTGCTGATGTAGCATCACCCTGAGGGGTTTGGGGAATACACAAATTGCAACTTGAAGTCACTGGCAGGGAGGAGAAATCACAGCACAACACTGGCAGAAAAAGGTGGCGTTGAGGCAGCTTCATGCGCCCCACAGGCACTTACAAAACAGCCTCACGGAAAGTTGGCGAACAAGCCAAACCATTGGTCTAACTCAGCATGTTCAACACAGACCGGTAGCAGCTGTCCAGCATTACAGGAAAATCCCACAAGCCCTGGCTTGATATGCCAGGGGTTGAACTGGCAACCTTCTACATACAAAGTTCTGCCCCTTCGGAAAAGCTGAGAATGTTACATTTGCCCTTACTTTGCATCCAGACTCAAATAGCATGCAGACCTCTATATCCCAAGAACTACGGGGTGGGAATGAAAGCACACACTGAGCCTAGAACGGTAAGGCACTGACAACGGCGTCTAAACACAACCTGAGACCTCAGTGCACCAGGGGAAGCAACTTCTCCAGTACCTATCAAATAAGTCAAGACAACAGTTTATCATTATTATCATTATTATATTGCATTTACATCCTACCCACTTTCTTTTTACATCTTCGCAACAACCTTGTGAGACAGGTTAGACTGAGAGTGAGCAATTGACCCAAAATCACCCCATGAGCTTCTGGACTGGAGCTCAGATCTCCAAGTTGCCAGTCTAGCACCAGCCACCATACCACACCGGTTCTCAAAGGAAATGCCCCAAAATGTACGGAAAGTCCTTGGGGAAATACTGGTGCTATTTATGATCATGGGTAGCGCACAGCAGGGATTCAGTTAAATCTGATTTGTTCTCTGCAGGACTTTCTGGGGCTAAACACCAACAGTTACCCAGAATTTATCAGGCTGTGAAATTTGTCTGCTGGGTTGTACTTGAACTGAGGACAGCAAATTGTGTAAGCTTAGATTAGTGTTCTGAAATGGGAAAGAGAGAGAGAGCAAGAAAAAGAACAATCTATGTGCACAGAGAGATACTCTACACTATTGGAACATAGCTAGATTGGACCAATTAAGCAGCACATCAAAGTGAAGATGCTTGTTCACAGGAGCCATTGTTTTAAAATAGCAAAGGGCGGTGATACCTTCATGGATGGCAAACATCAATCACAGCCTTCATTTTTCAGAGCAGTGTCTCTGAGCTGAGCAAATGTTTGCAACCATTTTCTGGTTCGGCAAAGAGTCTTTGCAACTGTGTTCTCCTGAAGCCATATTGGGGTGCATGAGGAGCCATCCTAGGGCTTACTCAGGGTGGTGAAATCAAGACTCTGTTATATTTTAGAAATGCACTTTCAAAGCAGAAAACGCATGGCTTTATAAGGGAAAGCAGGTTGGAATGTGCGCTTGTACATGCATCTGTGTGTGCATCTCTCTGTGTGCATTCTTAGTTCTTAGTTCTTTCTCTGGATTACATAGACTAAGAAAAAAATCTGAATGGTTATTTCCAAGCTCCGAAGCCCAAGTGCTGGGGAAGAACGTGGCTGGATAGCGTAATGAACCCAGGCTCATCCTCCGACATCTCCCGGCTGCATTTGCAGGTAGCCATTGCCAGGCAAGGAAGACCCTGCTGAGCTCAAGTGACCGTGTGGCCAGTGCCCAAGGATGCTGGCTGCATTGCCCTCCCACCGTTGGAGCAGGATGCTGGACTAATCCAGCCCCTCTTTGTTATGGTACAAGTTGGTCATCTTCCTGCTGAATCTCAGTCAGCTGTGTGTGAATCACATTTGGCCTAAAGCTCTTTTCACACTGAGGTTTCAAGTGAGTCCTGCTTTGGGCACTTGTCATAAAAGGATAGGAAAACTACAGCAAGCAGAATGCCCATGTGTCTGGTCTAAACATGCCTAGCATTGCATTCTTAGCTTTGCATAAACATTGTTTTCATTTATGCTCCCTTTCCTCCCTACATCTTTTTTTTATACCAAAGGTACTTCCCAGTGGAGGGGTCCCAGCACAACACATCATAGCAAAAGATATTATGCAGCACTTCCATTTTTTCTCCTTCATTTTTTATTTATTTTTGCTCTAAGAAGATTTGGATGTGGTGGGCAAATGCAGGAGGCCTCGGAGTGGAACACAACAATGCGCAAACACTCCATGAAGTGCCACGAATGAAGCAGGGAGGTAGCATGATAAAAACTTCATTCAGAAAGACCCTACAAGTGACTGTTTCCTTCTAGCCAGTTTTGCCTGATCTGAGCAGATGTGTTTTATTCTGCTGAAAGATATTTTCTTCAGGTTTCACGTAACGGAGTGCTTACTCAAAAAGAAAAAAACGCTTAAGATGCTCACAACAAATAATATTGTGCTGCTTTTTTGAGGGAACATCCAACAGCTCACAAAGGATGTAAAAGAGTCAGGGCTGGTCCAGGGAAAGATGCAATGATATCACTTACTATTTATAAATCACCATAGACAGATCAAAATACTTGATGCACACTATCACAGCAAATCTCACAACAACTTGACAAGGAAGGTCACTGACATTTGCCTGACACTGCAGCTGGAGAGCTGAGAGACTGGAGCTTGTCTGAGCTAACACTGGATAGTCGCAGTCAGTGGGGAGATTCAAACCCACCAAAAAGTGGTTCATAACGCAGCCTCAATGATGGCCTGACCTAGCCTTGTTGTGAGTGTGTGTGGGTGCTGAATATGAAAGGACTTGTATATGATTCTCATGACAGTCACAAGTCATGAGATTCTGATGAGAAAGAAAGCTGGAGGAGGGGGAAGGGAAGGGAAGGGAAGGGAAGGGAAGGGAAGGGAAGGGAAGGGGCTAGATGGGTTCTCTTCAACTACTTGTAGTATGAAGTCCTCTTACCTGAAGAGCAGAGAGAAGAACGTGTAAGCCACTACTTTCTTGCTCAGCCATGCTGCTATGCCCCCTCTCTCTCTCTCTCTCCCTTTCTCTCTCAGCAGCAGACATGCGACTGCAACTGAGTGGTTTTGCCAAGCAGCTCCACTCCTGTCCCAGTCCAAACTGAGAATGAGAGAAGTTAAGCACAGAGCGGCAGAGAGTCAAAATGAAAGTCTTGCAACCCTAGACCTCCACGCGAGAGAGAAATGTACACATACACACAGGCACAAATACCCGCCCCGTCCCTTTGGGGCTCTCCCACTGTGACGGTGAGATTAACTCCTATATAAAGAATCTGGGGGATTAAGCGAAGTGCCCTGTGGAAAGGTCTCCGGGATGGGTGCAGGGCCAGAGGCGTGCGGGGTGGTGGGTGGCTGGAGAGAGCAAAGGGAAAGCAGCGAGAGCCTCTGGTTCCTCCAGGCACCCCATGGGAGAGGGAGGGAGGGAGGGAGGGAGGCTGGCTGCTTGACAGGCATTCTCAGCTGATCAGTTCCCGAGGGGCTGTGCCAGCTGCATTGCTCTGCCTGCTTCTTGTCCTAATGAAACTGGAGACACCCTCAGATGGGCAGGACGCTGGGCAAAGGCAAGGAGGCCGCAATCAGCCTGGCAGAACATGGGAAGGACCTTTACAAGCCCTTGATGCATGTGCTTTTTAGCCTTTCATTAACTGGACCAGATTTTATATGTGTAAGGTGGACACCTCCACGTCTCCAAAAAAAGAAAAAATGGCACAGAACAGCATAGAAGGCTAATATAATGCTCATTTAGAAATGATTGCCATAATTTAAACCAGGGTATTCTGATTTGGGGCCTTCCAATTACTGTTGAAACTGAACTCTCATCATCCCCAGTCAGGGTGACTAATAGTCAGGAATCATGGGAATCTAGAGGGTCACAGGTTCTCTGGCCCTGACTCTGAAATGCAGCCCATCTCACCGCAGTGAGGAAAACTACAGCCAGGTGACTTGTGTGCCATTCCATCTACTGCCCGGGGACTCACTGTGAATGGGTAACCTGAGGGTCTGCCACCCTCCTGGGAATTCCTCCTCTTTAACCTGGACTTGACCAGTTCGAATAGTGCATGTCTTCCAATGGAAGGAGGTCCTCTAGCAACAGTTCAAATGGACACCTGGCTGCCTTATTGAGACATTACCTGTGCCAGGTATGTAGGACGATGTTTTATGAGCAACCCAAGCAAGTTGCCATGGTGTTTAGGGGTGAAGCAGGGGGCCTGGGGGGTTCTGAACTGGCAGTGACTCCTCATTCAGACCTGAGATGCATCTGAACTCCCAGATATGAATGGTGCAGCTTTGCATTATATTCAAGGGAAGAACTTTTGCCCAGTGGTGGGGCTTGTGATTCACATGCTGTGAAGGTCTGTGGTTTATTTATTTATTTATTTTTCAATTTAGATCCTGCCTTTTTCCTACAAAAGGCTCAAGGCAGCTTGCATCATTCCCCTCCTCCATCTTATCCCCTCAACAACAACCCTGTGAGGTAGGTTGGGCTGAGAGTCTGTGACTGGCCCAAAGCCACCCAGTTGGCTTCATGGCTGAGTAGGGACTAGAACCCGGATCGTCTGAGTCCCAGTCCCACGCTCTTAACCACTACACCACACTGGCTCTCCTGACTGAAGTTCAGTCCCCAGGATCTCCAGCTAGGGCCAGAAATGTCCTGCCAGTTACCCCGGTAGTGCAGAATGAAAGGGAAGCACACTCTGATTTCTGAGAACACCTGTGAGGAGGACCGCTGGGTGGCAGCTTTCTCTGACTTTGACTTGATACGCTAGTGAGGACTTGCAGATCCACGCAATTAAATCAATGGCAAGAAGCATCGCTGTATTTCTAAGAGGAGGGTTGAAACTCAGCAGCAGAGCGCATGCTGTGTGTGCAAATGGCGCCACCCACCTCCATTCGCAGGCGAATATCTCCTGTTTCAGGAAAGATTGCTGTTGTCAGCCCAGACAACACCCAACCAAGATTCAGATCTGCATTAATGGTCCAATCATGCGAGCTTTCAAATATGAGCCACGGCCAGCAAAGAGCTCATCTGCCAAGTGCAAGGCAAAAATGACACATGCCCGGGTTTCCAGCTATGCCTTTGATAGGGAAGGAAGATGCTCAGCTTGGCCAACTGCACATGCCATGCCCAGTGGCGGATCAGATCCCTGCCACAGCCTGTGTTTTGGAACGGGAGTCAAAGACGCCTAATTGTGGGTATAAAACGTCCTGCTGGATACTAATCTCACAGCCTCCTTTGCAGATTACTTTCCTCAAAGATGCAATGCCAGAGCACAGAAGGCAGAGATAATATTTGCAAAGAATAAAAAGAAAGGGGAAATAATTTTCCCGAGCTCTATAATCAGACTGGACCTCCTTTCATAATTTTCTCAAAATGAAGTGCCCCTTATCTTCCCCCTGTGTCCCCACCACTTCTATTGCTTTGATTCCCTCCTACCCAGCAGACCATTTTAAACAAGTTCTCCTAAAAATATTGTTCTCTGGACTTTCTACAAGAATCTGACTGGGGGGAAGTTAACACAGCTGTCAATTGTGCTTCCTGGGCCAGTTGCTGTAGCTTTTGTCTTGCCTTGGCTGGGCCCAACGTGTCTAATAAAAGAATTCCATATAATAACCAAGGGAGATATAAGGAACAATGCTCCAAGGCAAGCAGAGGAAAGGAAAGGGGACAGAATCCCTTTGAAAACCTATTTGATAAGCCCGGCTAGCACTCAGCATGCTGCAGCGATTAATCCCACCAACGAAAAATTACTTTGGAGCTAATTGAAGGCAGCTAAGGATGCTGTTTATCTCTTTCCAAGCCCACCCACTCCCACCTACATCCTTTTTGTTGTTGTCTTTCCATTTCTAGTTATAATTGTACCTGTCAGAAAAGCTGGGCAAAACTATCAATTCCTGCAGCATCTTTTTTAAAGGAAGTCAGCATACAGGGTAGAAAAATGGCCTAGCTCACACACATCATGATGTTCTTGGGCAGTCCAAAAATAAAAGCACTTGCAACTAATCCCACTTCCATTGTATTAATGCCAGTCCTCTGAAATCCAGAAATATATGAATCTGTGAAACCTTCCAAAGTCCCCGCGAAGTCTTCCTTTTCCTGAAAGGTCAACAACATGTTCCCCGGATTAAGACTGCTTCACATACATATGGACACAGCATGGTCACTTCTAAATTGATAGCTGATGGGGTGGAATCAGATCAAATTTGCTCCCATTTCTCCCCTCTGGCCAAGGGAAGCAGAAGAAAGGCGGAGCCCACTTTTGTCCCGCCCTCCGCGCTAAACTAACGTATCTGCTTCTCCTGCAGTGCCAGGGGGTGCCCACGTATCCCAAAGGGAGCGTTCCACTATTGTAGCCCCACCACTACTAGCTTCCGACAACGTGATTAAGCTTGTCACTGAGCTGTGGGTTGTCGCTGGAATGCAAGTCATTGTTTTGTCTGAACCAAACGCTGCCAACAAGTCATTCCTGGTTAACCATGAACAGCCCGTGGTTTTGATTTTGAACTGTGGGTTGTTGAGTGCATGCTGGGCTAAGATATCATGATACCAATGTTTCAACAAGAACTCACACTTAACCTGTACTCTAATGTGATTTGAACCCTGTCACAATGAGTCTTGCTAAGCTTGAGAGAACAGGGAATTCTGAAGCGGCTGAAAAATTGTTTCTAATATTTAAAAATGTCATGTTTTAAACAAAAGATTAGCATGTTATTTTTGCTGCTGGTTTTTATCATTCTGTGCACTTGTTCTCCTGTTCTGTATTTTATATTAATTGGATTCTGAGCTGTACTGGATGTTCTTGTTTTAACCTTGCTATGGTTTTATGTTTTTGCTGCTGGTTGCTCTTTCTGTGAGCCATGCAGAGAGCCTTCAGGCTATGGAGTGGCATACAAATGAAATTAATAAATTACCCCCACAAGCCCTGGTTCCACAACACCACAGGTAAACACCAATGTATTATGCACCATGCCAACATTTTAAATATGGAGGGAAACCCCTTATTACATCTCAGATGATCATAATAAATTAATAGGGATATGTTTCAGGGTGATTTGAATGATTGTAATGGATTCCTTTCCATTCTGGCAATTTCAATAGTAATTCAAAATTGCTTTACAAATATAAATCTTTTTAAGCATCCAGTTATAAAAGAAGAGTAGTGTGTCACCATTAGGAACCACATGATTATTCCAAGCAAGGGAGCTTGAATAGGGACTATTCTTGCATGAATTTGAGTGTTTTCACGTGGGGGCAGGCGCAACGCCCTTTGCCTGATGTTGGCAGTGTCCCTACAGCACTTGCCCTCTCTGCCACTCTTGTTTTTCCATTCCTGAGTCCTACACAAATGCCCCTCCTTTGGGAAGAGTGGGGTGGTGGCAGGATCCATGGCCAGCATCAAGGATAGGCACCTTCTGAGAGCATGCACACTAGCAAGCGCTATTGATGGGAGTCCCCTGGACACCCCCCGCCCAACACACACACCATTACAACCTGCTTGCTCACCTGCATGGGGAGAAAGTGTGGAGGAAGAGCACCACTTGTTCACTGGGTCCATCCCTGTTGAGCAAGCAAATGCTTGCGATGGCAAAGAAAAACAGCAGCTGGTGACTGTGGTACTAAGCTCAACTCAGTGACCCACAAACTAGGGTTGAGCATGAGTGGCATGTGGGTTGTTGTTGTTTTCCTGTGGGCTGTTGTTGAAACAAGGATTATTGTGTAGTCTGAACCCAGTTGTGCTCACCAGTCCTCAGTTTGCAACCCAGCAACACACCAGTTCTCTTCATCATTAACATACCCTAACGTCATAACCCATGGTTGTCACAAGCCATGGTCCAACAGAAACCCACCTTTGAGGGTGGGTGTGCATGTTTTCTGAACCCAGTCAGTGAGGGAGGGGATGGTGGAGGATGGCTTGCTCAAGGGTCCTCATAGACTTGGAGCTGGCACTGCAAGGAACAGTGGCCAAAAATGTGCTTTGCTGAGCACATATATCAGAAGTGAGGCACCTCCAGTCCACACAGAATCCCCCTTCAGCCTCTGGAAGTGTGAGCATGGAAGGAGGGGTTCCAGTCAGCCCTTTGCCCAAGGACCTGATGATGTGAGTGGGTAGGAGCTCATACCTAACATTGTAGAAGGAGACCTGCACCCTGATGTCATCTGGCCCACAAGGGAATCCAAGAAGGAAAATGTCCCCTGAAATGTAACCCCTAGCATAGCTCATCAATATTCACACTTCAAAATGAGCATTTGTTTTCTGGGGTCTCATGGATTCAAGCACCCTCCCTGATCACTTTTTCTCCATCTTACCCACCCCACAAGGTAGTCATGTGGGGAATCAGTCAGTGTAGTACGCAGAGGTTGGACTGGGAAGACCAAGATTCAGGTCCCTCCTTCACTGGGTGACTTCGGGTCAGTCACAGCTCTTAGCTTAACCCCCTTCACAAAGTTGTAAAGTGGAGAGGAGAAAGATTACATATACTGCCCTGGGTTCCTTGGAGAAAAAAGCAGAATATAAATGTAACAAATAAATACACATGAAGAAAATCAATCCGCCTTATGAACATTACTCTAAACTACTTCAAAGCAGGCTCAGCACAAGTGCATTGCAGTGCTTTTGGATAGATCCCATACATTTTGACAGGACTTCTGGAAAACAAATTTCTAGTAGGTTTTGCCTTGAACTTGTAAATATTTTCATTAATTATCGCCTTTAGGCTAAAGAGACAAGTCTGATTACAAAGAGATTTGAGTCCATGTCCCTTGAAGGTCTTGCAACCAAAGTAGAACTGATTAAAAGCTTGAGGGGGAACAAAAGGGAAGATGGAATTCCTTGACAACTCTTGCAAATTACAAAGAGTTCTCAATATCGGCTCCAACAGAATGGGCTTTTTGTACTTCATTCTCCTCAGCTTGCTACTGGTTTCCTTTTAAAGCTCCATTGCTTGAGAGGCCAAATAGATTTTATGGGACAGTAATTTTATCAATTCTATTTGGTTCCTGCAATTGAGATGTCAAGATTAACCTTGCATTGGTGGCAGCAAGCAGCCAAATGCTTGAATAAATCCAAGAGTGGTGGAATTTTCATGTCTTGAGTTCCAGATGGGCTGACAGCTTATAGAATTCTGGTTTGGCAGGCTCTGAAGCAGGGGTGAGGAGAAAGTAGATCTCTGGATGCTTTGAAATTCAACTTCCAGTATGCCTGACCATTGATGCTGCAGGCAAAGGCTTCTGGGAGCTGCAGTCCAAAACATCTGGAGATCTACCTTCCACTCATCTGTAGTCTTGAGAGGCCCAACCTGGAGCAGAAGGCAATCAGCAAGAGGCCTCAGGATGAAACAGCACAAACTAGAACGCAATAACAAAAAGCTGGGTTGAGACAAGAATGCTCACCTATGCAATAGCTACCACTGCTCAAATTGTTATGAACAGAATCACGAATCCAGAGGAACATGAGGAAAAGCTTCCAAACTGTTAGAGCAAAACCAATGACTTAGCAAGGTCATGCACTCTCTCACACAGGAAGAATTAGGGAGGCAGTTGGACAGCCAGCTGTTAGAGATGCTTTAACTTGGGGTTCTGTACTGAGCAGGAAGCTGGACCCATTTGGCCTTATTGGCCACTTCCAGCTCTGCTGTTCCTTAAGTCTATGATTGGCTGGGCCCAACTTAAGTCTTAAGTTTGCTCTGAGCATGTCTTGAGGAGCCTGCCCCCAATACTAACATATTGTAGCTTAAAGCTCCTAACCTATTGAACTTTTTAGAATGGGACAAGGGAGGCATAAATGTCTGGAAAGCATCAAAGGATAGGAGGGTGGGAAAAATGAGTGAGGTAGGGAAGTGGGCTTGACCACATAGGGAGTATGGAAAGGCTGGATTTGGGATCCCAGGAGGACCAGATTGGTCCTGTGACTCCAAGTTTCTCAGAGTAAAGCAGTTGTCTTAACCAAAAGTATAGCCTGAACCCCACAACAGCATGAAGGGCAGTTTGCCTGGAACGCTGATTTTGCTACCTGCCTGGAACTGCATAGTTGGTATGAGGGTAGAGGGCTCTTAAGGACCTGGCAAGCTGGGCTGGGTTGCCCTTTGCTAGTGGGGCCAGGCATTTGGGGGCCTCCCATAGAGTGTTTTTTACTTTAATACTCTCGGGATGTTTGAAGAACCCTTTTATGGGTGGCACTCACCAGGAACTGAGGTCCATACAACCACTACCCAGGCAGATCTCCCATCCATACACATGACTTGCAACCTCAGTTTATGCTGCATGTGACATGGGAGGAGTTGTTGTGTGCACACGCAGGGTTCTGCGAGTATCCAGACTTCCTCTCAGCTTGACTCGCTTGCTAAGATGGGACCAAGCACAAGAGGAAGTCTGCAAACTCAAGAGAGCTGGATTCCAGGTAAGATTGTCACAATGGTAAAACATGCACACACCCAACAAACACAAACTCTGATGATTCTTCATGTTCTGCTTTTCAGACATCTACAGCACTGTTCAATGGTTTTTGCATGCATATTACTCCTTGGCTAGTGTTCAGGTGAAAAAACATCAATGCCCTAGAGAACAATAAAGCCGCAACTACATGTGCAAATGTAGAGTTTAAAAAGCTCTCCAAGCCTATGCAGTAACCTTTTGTGCAAATCAGGGAGCAGAGAAAAGTGGCAGGCAGGGGCAAGAATGAGGAAAAGTGAGAAGAAGGGTCCATAATCATTTTATGCCGACATTCACTTTTATGAACCCCAAGCTGTTAAAGAATTTTTTGACTGAGCTCTCCCAGTCAGATTCAGGTATTGATCTTCACAGTATTGTTAACTCATAACCAGACCATATTTGAAAACATAAAAGTTTAAGAGGAATCATAAAGACAAGACAGATGGCTTTGGCAGATCACCTCTCACAATGTGGAGTGGGAAGCATAAATCTCACTGGGTTTAGAAAAAAATTATGCACATTGAGATTAATTCACGGCCATGTCAATTTCTTACAACATCCATAAGCTACAAGCCATCATGTGTAGATGGAGTTGCAGGAGGCATAAAGCTAAGAGGAGGTGAGTCAGGGGACAGATAAGGAAATGGGAAACATGGATGGATGAAACTTTTTTAAACACTTTGACTAATATATACAAAGTAGTCATGCATACAGAACAGGATTGTCCTGCATAATGTGCAGCAGTGCAAAGGAGCCATTAACTTTCAAACCCTGGTTATGCCCTCAGGAATGGGGAACCATTTTAAGATGGGAGACAAATGGCCCCCAATCTGCCACCTGTATGACATGAGGTGGGTACGGTACATTGATGCCATTTGTTCCCTGGCTGAAATGCCAGGTGGCCCTTTGCTGGGGTCCAGGATTTGCTGCCTGTGAGCTGCCCCAAATGGAAAGCCTTGAGTGTAGCAGATCCATCACAGCCAAGGCACTGTTCAAACAAACCATTCAGGCATTGTAAATTATTAGCACCACCTTGAACGGTGCTTGGACATGAACAGGGAACCACTGTACAAGTAATCAGAAGGCCCGTGTAATGCACACTTCCTATTAGCGTGGTAGCTCACTTATGGTGTCCATGCAGCCTGCTTTACAAAGAGCAGCTCTCTTTGAAGCCCTTCTCTGTTTGAGGGGCTGCTCAGTCCAAGATCAAAGTCACACAAAGAATGAACGGCAGCTCCCCTTGAAAGTTTCCCATAAGTAGTTAGCACCTGGACAGCAGACCAAACAAGTGTAAGCTGCCTCCTCAAAGTCCTTTCCATGATGGAAGGGTTAAAATCCTGGCAATCCCTTCTAAATTTGCATGTCCAGACATTACAATGCACTTCATGCAAAACTGGGTTGGCTTGTGCCTCCACCCCCGCCCCTGTCACAGATTTCTTTTTCTTTGCACATCTGTAAATGGCCACATTTAACTGCACTCCAGGCTACAAATAACCATTGGTTTTGATAAATGCAACTCTAAAAATGCAGCTCTGTTTTCAAAGGAAAGCCAAGCACAACCCCAGCTTTTGTACTGCCCTATAAATTAAGAAACATGGGGAATGAATGCACTCACCCAAGATTAAAATCACTAGCAGGAGAACATATATACATTTCTTGCTTTCCTACCTTCTCTAGTGAATCTGACTCTGGTGAACATTAGACTGAAACAGGAACTATTATCTTTTGCTTATGTTACTTTCCAAAGCACCACGTCCATTGAAAGTGCAATTATTAACATCAACAATTATTGCAAGAAGGGGGAAATTATGTAAGTTGCCCTGGGTTCCCTGAAAGAGAAAAGGTGAAATATAAATCTAATAAATGTATCTGGGGTGAATGAGTTTGTGATGGCAAGCAAGCCATGGACAATCGGCCTCCAGCTGGGCTTGTCCATATAGCCGGGGACCCATGGGCTTTACAATAGTCACTGTGAATCCATGGCCCTTGCCTGTAAGCCCCAAAAGCTGAGTGTGCTTAACCTGCTTCGAAATGGAGCAGTCCATCCCATGTTGGACCCCTTTAGCCCCTGCATCACAGATAAGGAGAACGGTGTCCAGGCAGTTTCATATTTGAATTCCTGGAAGGGGGAAATATGTTCTATGCCGCTACTTGTCTGTAACAGCAGTGATTATAATCAGTCGTGCATATATCAGCATCTTTGTCTTTTTTCTTTTTCTAGGAGAATTCCTAGTCTCCTTTTCCAAACATCCCAAAGCTTTGTGCATAAAGGTAGGCAAAACGGGTTGTTTACTACTGACCTCTCCTGGATAAAACAAGAACCACTTCTGTTTAAGCCACCAGTTTATTGCAAAGAGCAATTTGTCAAGGTAATTAACTTTCAAGTCCTGCGCTATGATCCTGAAAATCTTGGACCAAAAAAAAAAAAAAAGATCTGAGAGTCATAAGAGATGTGCCATGGATGTCCCAGTGTCTTTTTTCTTTCTCGGAAAGCACCTACACCTGGGTGGGAAGGGCAGGGGCAGCACTGTGGATTGGGGCCACTGCACTGGGCTTGGATCTTTGTCCACACTGATTCCTTAACATTTGTTTTATTCAAGTGATATATAAGCTGCCTTTCAAAATGCAGTATTTTCCCAGGGAACCATACCATATATGCTAAAATCAATTAAAAACACATACGTCAGTATTAAAAAAGCAAATAACAAAGCCAATGACTAAAGAGAACAAGTTAAATCATCCTATTTCAGGTTGCCATCCTTTTGCCTGAAAACACAGCCACTAAAAACGCCATGCAGCGGAAATGTCTGATCTATCCTCTCAGTTAACATGAGTCGGGGATTCTTGGAGGGTCATTTTTCCTGTGGGCACTGCCTAAAAGAAAATAGAGACAGAGCTAACCATATCTCCTGAGGGAAGGCATTCCAGAAACATGGAGCCCTCCCCAAGAAAGCCTGACCAGGGTGCCTGCCATGCATACCAACAGAACCTCAGAATTTCCCTTACTGTTTGGCAGGTTCATAAGGGCCTCAACAGTTCTTTAAATAGCTTGAGTTTAAGCCACTGAGGCAGGGATGTAGCACCTTCGGCTCGTGGGCCACATCTGGTTCTCTGGCATTCTTCAGCTGCCCAAACCCCCTTTCTCCAAAATCGTTTGGTGATTTCCCAATTCCGGTGTGGTTTTTTCCCATTCTCTCCCAGAGTTTAGTTACTGGCAGTACTCCAGGCTTGGTTGGTGGCAGCCTTCCCTGTGGTGGCCCTCAGTTACAAAATCAACTCCTTACTGAGGCCTGCTTCATGGCAACTTTACCATCCCATCAGCACCAGGTTAAGACTGCATCCCATGCTGAGGCATTTAACACCCCTAAGCAATGTGCAGAAGGGGGCACTGTTCACTGTTTCCAAGAGGCCCAGTAGCATGGATTTGTCTTAGCTGTTTAAGCTATTAAAATCTGGTGTTAACTTCTAGTGAAATGCTATGTTTCTACTGTTATTTATACTGTACGTGGTATTTTACAGTATTTTATCAACTAAGCACAGCACCTAGAGAGCTTCAGCTGTTGGGCAGAACAACAAGAAAGGATTGCAGCACTGCGATTTCCCAGGCACAGCTTCTGCAAGTTGTGCAACCCCATGCGGGACCCAAACATGTCATGCCAAGATGTGTATGCAATAGAGTTCAGCATTGCGTACATGGCTGCATACATAAGGGGAAGCCGAGTGCAAAAATAAATGTACCTTTCCATGCAGCTTTTTTTTTTTTTTTTTTTAAGAAAAGGAAGATGGGTAGATTGATGCCGAAATTTAAGGGAACAGGGTTAAGACTGAATGCAGGTGATGCTGACATAGAGCGGATATCACGTCATCCACCCATCACTGGACAATAGTGGGGAAGGTGGACCAGCAGGTCAGTCAGTGCAGGGCAGCTTGCTAGGTTCTTTCAGGGCCTTTGGCATCCGTTGCCAGCGATGCTGTCCTTCAGTCTTCGGCACCCTCCCCAGGGTCCCTCAGAATTAAATCTTTGGTCTGGGGAGGCAGGAGGCACAGAGGCCCTTAATACAAAGACAGATCAATGCCTCTGCAGAAATGGTAGGCCAGCATGGAGAAGACAGCCTGTCACTCACACACCGCAGCAGCTGCTGAGTTCTATTTTGAACAGTTAGTATTGCATTGTCAGACAATTACACTCTTCGTAATATATATTTAACCAAGAGAGCAAATTCCATCTTAGCTTTTGCATCACTGGGGGTTGGCTTTTGTGGGATAAGTGAAAGCACAGGGCCAGTTCCAGGCTGCCCTCCCATCCCTTAGTGGGAACCCTCTACTGGGGTGTAGTGGAGACAAAGCACCAGCATTTGGGGATTACTAGGGATGCTGACGTGCCTGCCACCCCTCCTCAGAAGCCCCTGCTCCCTCCAAACATTACTGAAATCCTTACTCTAACTAGGGGTGTGGGGTTGATTTCTGCAACAGCAGTCTTGCTGCTGTGAAAATTATTTTGGGGTGGCTTGCTCTTCAATGGACATTGAGGACTAACTGGGTTCAGGCAACATGATAGCCCACACTAAAGGGCTGATCTGGGTTGGATGTTGGTTATCTTTGAATAGTGTGCTGTTGTTGGAACATGGTTTATTGTGTGATCTGAACCAATGATGGACAAAGCACAGGTGACAACTCAACAAACCATGCAGTCGCTTCATGGGTTGTGCGTGGTTTAGAAACATAGAAACACAGAAATGAAGCGAGTCAGAAGGGTTATTTTCTGCCTTCTCTCAAAGGCATATGGGGTGGGGAAGAAAGAAAAGCCAACCTGCATGGATGTTGACCCAAGCAGAAGCTGCTCTCTTTCTGCATTATGAGCTCTGCATAAGAAACATTATTAGAATCACTGAGTCACAGCCAAACCCTTCACACTCACACTGTCTGGGAACAGATTTGGAGCTTCGAAGGAGGCCTCCCTTCAGGATTCTGCTGCCTTTTATTTGCACTGCAACTGTATTAATTTTATTCCCTCTGACAGCTGTTTTAAACCATTTCACTCTCGGCTGGAAGCATGATCAAGTCTGAAATGTGTGCTGTAAATAGCAACACAAGTTGCACAGTAAACTCTGATTTAATGTGCAGCATGTTTTATTAATGTTGCAACACTTATTGTGTATTTTAAGTCACCATTGATTTTTATTAAAATAGACACTTTTATTGCAGGCACTAAATAAAATACCATGTTTCCTTTCTTTTATTCTGTGAATTCAGGTTAATTTTGTAAGTGCTTGTAGAAGATGATGCCAGGTCTTTCCTGCTTCAGTCAGCTTTACCACTTGCCAACAAAATCTCTAAAGGGCAGAAACAAGGAAAGCAATCATGTGAAGCAGCTAGTTCCCAGCCTCTAGAGTCAAAATTCCAAGTTTCGATAGTGACCCTGCACTGAACTGATTCCAACCTAGCTACATCTCTCCTGTAATGTGAAGTCAAAAACTGGATGCAGGACTCCAGTTGTGGGCGCACCAAAGTCATGTAGAACGGAATCAACACCTCCCTAGATCTGGAAGCCACACTTCTAGCTATACAGTGGTACCTTGACTCATGAACTTAATCCGTTCCACGACTCTGGTCGCAACCCAAATTTGTCATGAGCCAAGTCAAATTCCTCATAAGGTTCAATGTAAATAAGGTCAATCCATTCTGTAATTATTTTTTTTAATCACAGCGAAGATGGGCATGATCACAGGCACGCTGGGGGTGGGGAGGGGAGACGGGCTCTCCAGCCACTTGTCCCCCACCCAATGCCTGTGACAAGCTAAGGAATTGAGCACACCCATCCTAAGGCTTGATTGATAACTGAAAGGGCTTTAAGCAAGTCATGCAGGCATTCGGCTCCTGTCCTTTTGCCTTTGGCCCCGCCCCCTTGCCTTAGGCCCCACCCACCACTAGAAGGCAGCCCCCAAGTGCTTCACTACAACTGAATTCATCCCTGAGGTCAAAAGCATTCCCAGTTTAGGGACAACCCACAAAACAACCTTAGCGAGCTGTTTCTGTGGAACACTAAACGCTGCCCACCTTGGTGTGGTCCACCAATGAACTAGTGCAGCTAAGCTGGTCCATGTTTCAAAGCACCACAGCAGGCATGTCCTTCCCTGACATGCAGGCTCTGGAAAGTTTCAATGCCCGCTGATTTCTGCAGTTCAAGACACCATTAGAAGCAAAAAGACAAGTCCAGCCCGTTTGCATGTGTTTCTTCAGTTGGTGGACATGAACGCAGCTCTGTTTGGAAGAGAGGAGTGGTTCGCACAGTGTCCCTGACATAATGAAAGTAGGTCTTTGTGGAATCTACCTACATGCTTGTTCTGGCCCCTTCTGCTGTCTCTGCTCCCAAGATTCACAAAGGGACCAGACTCCCACCCATCAGTCACTGCAAGGACAGCAGTGGAAACCTGAAACCACACACTGTCCAAATTGGCTAATCAGGTGCTTCTTGTCATCAGAGTCATCCTGGAAAGATTCATGAGACCTGGGATTCAGAGGAAGGAAATAATACTGGTGTCCAATTGTCCCATGCCATTTGGAGGCTATTTCTGGAAACCCAATTTCAGTGCTCCTCAAGATTAGAAAGGAAAGCAAGAGATAGAGAAAGATAAATCAGCTCTGTACTTAGTGAATGGCCGAGTGAAAAGTTTTACTGTTGTGCAATTCCTGACTGTTCTTCTGGCAAGCCATTTTTACAGCTATTTGATGGGCAGAAATTCAATAGGTGGAGCCTATTCATCCCCCAGTCATCCTGGTAAAAGTCTTACTGGTTGAATTTGTGGTGAATCAGACCACTTAGGACAGGCATTTCTCTGTTAATTATTTATCACCCAAAACTTTAAAGGCATTTAAAGGGGATTGATAGACGCATCACAACTGACCAAATTTCACCCAGGGTTATGCTTCAGGTGGTCCAAGTAAATGTGTTTAGTTTAACTTGAAGTGGCCCATCCCCGAAGAATAAGCAATGGATATTTCACAGGCCTCCAACTCTGAATTGTACAGCGCTGGAATTACACAACCGTTTTTCAAGCTACAAAACTCCGGAGAGCAGAAGCAATAAAACCCTGTTCACCTGAGGCAAACATACAGCAGCTTTCTCTCTCTTTGCCCCCCACCCCTTCCTTCTGCATTCATAACTCCTTCAGACCACTTTTCATTGATTTGGCATAAAATGCAGATTGGGTAAAACTAATCTCAAATCCAGTCAGCAGCAAATCAGCTTTGCAATGTGACATATATGCCATGTATAGCCGAATCGTTTCTCACCTCTCATAGAAACTGGCAGATTCCTCCTCATCATCACCATCATGGTGCCCAGATTATGGAATACACTCCCCAGGGA